TTGATTGTGAGTAGTATTTGCATGAGTCATTAGAAAATAACGACTCCGACGTCAGGGCAACAGTAATTACCGTTAGACATATTTCAGATGGAACTCAGTCATGCGCATCCACTTATGCATTATGTATGATCATCGCTGTTTCGGAATGAATAACAAAGCCAATTAGTAACTTCAAAAACATCAAGCTGCCTGTGGGTTTCCGCGTAGACGTGCACACGTCCAGATTGATTAGTTCATCATCTAAGATTAGTTCACCAATGCAACGTTAACCGACACTTGCCATGAAAACTTACAAAAAGAAGTTTATCCAGTTTGTGTTAGAATTGTTGTATTTTTTCTAGACAAAAGTTTCTTAGGGTAGTGTGGGTTGGTAACGAAGAACGAACCGACAAATAGGAGAGTAGTCATGCTGGAAAATGAGAACATACCGATCGTTCTTCTAACAGGTGTTGCTTACACGTCTATCTTCAGTAAGCTTTGCAAAGCGCTATATTAGGACGTTTTACTTGGCAAACGAAAATGGTAAGTTTTTCGGGATCTGTTTTGTTCTAGGCAGCATTACCGACGTAATAGCTCTTGAGCGAAACAAACTGTTGCGAAATGCGATTAGCACTTCTCGATATTTTTGCAAACAAGTCTCGGATGCTAAGATATTATTGCCCTAATGCTGTATACATTTGCTCTAAGCAAGATAACACGGTTGAAATAATCAAACAGACAAGAATATCTACACTGAAACATTTCACATTGTCCCGGTTTCAAAGTCCCCGATACCTGGGTTCGCAGAATCAATTAATTCAGTTGTGCAACTCATTTATCTGTGCAGTTCAAATGCACAATCTGTCATTTATGGCAGATTGAACAAATGACATGTCAGTTATGTAATCTAAATGAATATGCATACGCACCCTTCCTAATCCAATGAGTAAAACTCTTTTAGTTGTACTTTCAATCATCTTTCATGTTTCTTAGCATTAGTGATAGTTTGTTTTTTTATGGCTTTTGTCCTTTCTGACGATTTGTGCATAAGGTCTCCAATTTTTTGTAGATGAGCCATCCAATCCCTGAGTGTTTAGTAAATAGGGAGTATTCTAGACATTTTATGCTCACGTCAATGAATTCGGATCGAATACTTTTTTCTTTCTATATTTGTCTTATACGAATTGCTACTTTATTGCATCATGCATCAAGCAATCATAATTTGTTTGTAGATCATATTTTGTACGCTCAAAAAACAATATGTCACGTTCTGTCAGCTTTTATAGATTCAGCTTCGGTGATCTGATTCATAACTGAGTGTCTGCAATTTGCACTAAATGCGATTCAACAGCATCGAATGGACGTAAACAGCGCTATCTATCTGCCCTGACCGTTTTTGTGCAATTGCCTGTCCCTGTTTTTTGCACTAGCTGATCACCGTTCTTCATTGCAGGCTCACACAGAAGACACGCCAATTTTCACCTAAATACCAGCTTCAATACCATCTTTTCAGCTGAGAAGCTTCATATCTAACCAAACTAACGTTCTTTAATATCAATCATGTCTCATTCGATAACTATGCCATGGTGTTCTCTGGGACGGCCAACTTGGGCATACAAGCTTGCTACTAGTGAACCCCCGCCAATTGGATTTATTATCGTTCGATGAACTATCCGGAATGAAACTGTTAGCGTAAATTAGTTTAAGCGACAGGTGTGCATGAAACTGAATGCAATGAGTTCGCATATTGGAAATGAAACTTTTGCTGAGTGAACTGTGCGCTGCTGAACACGTATTAGAGATGACATATTTAAAGCATTTTATGATGTTATCAAACCAATGTCTGGTTTGGAGCCTATACCGAAATATATTGCAGAAAACTGGTTTGATTTATCTTCTCTCCATGTGAGCCAAGATGGATAAATGGTGAAGATATTACCAATTTGGAAGTCGATGGAACATCAAAGGCCTTCGTTTAATCAAAAGCTTAACACCATGAGGCACGCAATGTAAACAGCTGGCAAAAATTGTTTTCGACGAAAATTGGCAACTGAAATGTTGTTGTATAAGCCGGAAGAAACTGCTAACCACTTGCGAAAAGTGCATTTTCTGCCGCGCGTTCAGTTCAAGCTTTTCAAGACCCGTAAATGTTAGTCAAAACGTAAACTAGGCTGGAAAGCTATCGCCAATGAATGCGTGACTTGATAGCTAAAACATGTTTAGATCTATTAGTGGTAAGCGAGNGAGATGTGCCCATATAATGGAGCTTGATTCTGAACATGGCTGCGTTCAAAATTATCTGCATTTTCATTTTGGAAACTAAGTATCTTAATTTACAAAACAACTTTTAGAATAGTGTATTTCATAAAGCTGAAAACTCGCTTGGAAATATAAGTGCAACTGCTAAATCCTCAACTAGTTGCAGGCTAAAGTGATGAAGTATTTCACTACTGGCAGGTGTTAAGCTAAACAAAGCCTGTCAGAAATCATTCTTAATTAAGTGGATGAAAATGGAAGCTCATGTAACACAATAACCGTAAGGATTCACGACGTTTTATGCGAACAGAAGCTGCTGCATTTCCATTGTTGAGCTCGATCACGTTTTGCTATGTCGGAGCACTCCGTTGAGATGAAATAATCGACATGATCAATCTTACTTATCATATGCACAGGAGCTTGAGATAGAACATCAGCATTTCAGCTGCTCAGTAAACTGGATAGTTTACACTTTAATGCACTTTTCCTCGTCTATTTGCTCTTTGTTCCCATCGATCCCACACAGACTGGCGCAATGCAATGCGAGTTCAATTGCACTTGGAAGAAGAAAAAAATAACAGTCACGATAAGTGAAAGGAACATATTTCTGATTCTGCATGTAACAGTTATGCAGGGCGACACCAGTTTGTCCGGCGTCAGGGTTCTCCGTTCACGTTGACTCGTTTTATAGGATGAAATGCGGTCTGGCTGGGCAGGTACAGATGAGGGGGGGGGAGGTGTAGATACGCTGGGTGTGGGAGCTATGCGACCAGTTGTTTGAACGAGATCGATCGCACTGATGTCATAACAATAGTTCGTGTCTAAATATTTGTTACTGATTGCGGATTTTGTTTTATTTCGGAACGAGTGAAAAAAATGGAACGTATAAATATATATAAAAGAAACCGACTAGGATCAATGATAAGGAATAACAGTTGCGAATACTGCAAATGTGTCTGAAATGCACTTTAGGAACAGTGCAACTGGTCGGAAAGGGAGCGTTTAGAAGCATCCGCAATGTAGGAATAGATTTTGTGCAACAGAATTGGTTAGAATCGGCTGCCTTTAACCCTATTCGTAAGAAGTAACACAATCAGTTATTTTATCTTGTAATTTCGCCTAAGATTTATTTACTTTATGCGTCTGTTGACAGAATTGTAAACCGTATGAAAACCTACGCCTCTCGATCCTCTGGACCATTTGCTTAACTGATCAGGTTACTGAAGGTGATATCGTCAATATAGAGTCAAATCGATTTGCATGCGTTGGTGGAAGACATCAAATTAGTCTGCGCAAATACAACCGAAACGTTAAAAATAAACATTTTTTGAAAACCAACAAATATAGATATGGGAGTTATAACGCATGGAAAAATGCTTCCCAAGTTTCTGGTTCCGGGTATGTACTACATTGCAATTCGATCACGTCGTCTCCACCAATGTGTACAGTACAGTGGAAAACAAGCGCGTACATCACAAATCGTCGCGTGGAACGAATCAGACAAAACAGGAATATGGTGAGGTGCATTGCCGTGTACAACGCATCGAACCGAAACCAAAGTTAATGAGTAATTCTACACAGAAATGGACAAT